ACCATGGGATTGCTCGGAAGAAGAGGCGAACCACAACCAAGGAAACGATGTAAACATTGTTGAACCGATTGAATCGGATCATGAGTTTGAAGACGGATCGGAAGTACAAGATAACGAACAACCAAGTCCGGTCAACAATAATGTGAACAATGTTCAAAACCAAAGGCCTACGAGACTAAGGAAACTTTCAACTCGATTGCAAGATTATGAGCTTGACCTTGATAACCTTGATGAACTTCTCCTAACAAMCAATGACGAGYCGGTATCGRTTGAAGAGGCGAAGAAAGAACCGGAGTGGGTCAAAGCCATGAATGTGGAGATCAGTTCGATAAACAAGAATAATACTTGGACTCTCGTGAACAAGCCTAAGGGGGTGAAGCCAATCGGACTCAAATGGGTGTTCAAATTGAAGAAAAATGCAGATGGCACCATTAATAAATACAAGGCAAGGTTGGTTGCTAAAGGTTACGTGCAACAACCCGGTATTGATTTTCAAGAAGTATTTGCTCCAGTAGCTCGAATCGAATCTATCCGACTTCTTATAGCCTTAGCCGCAACTAATGGGTGGGAGCTTCACCACTTAGATGTTAAAACGGCTTTCTTGCATGGAGAATTGAAGGAAACCGTTTACGTATCGCAACCGGAAGGCTATATAAAGAAAGGCAACGAACATAAAGTGTATCGCCTTACGAAAGCACTATATGGCTTAAGACAAGCACCTCGAGCATGGAACACGAAGCTTGACGGAATTTTGAAGAGCATGAAATTTCAAAAGTGCATGAAAGAACCATCAGTGTACCGGAAAAACGAAGGAGCTAACTTGTTGATTTTGGCAATTTATGTTGATGATTTATTTGTCATGGGTACAAATTTGGACATGATCAAAAGGTTCAAATTAGAGATGTCCAAGAGCTTTGAGATGTCGAATCTTGGAAGATTAACTTACTACCTAGGCATTGAAGTTAAACAAGAAGAATCGGGGATTACTATAGACCAAGAAGCGTATGCTCGACGCATTCTAAAAGAAGTTGGTTTAAATTATTGCAATCCGACCCACATTCCAATGGAACCGGGAAATAAGTTGTCGAAGGCCGAAGACGAACCCGAAATCGACCCGACACAATATCGAAAGGTGGTAGGATGCCTTAGATATCTCTTGCACACAAGACCCAATATTGCATATGCGGTAGGAGTTGCTAGCCGATACATGCAAAGTCCAAGAGAGTCACATGGTGGAGCAATCAAACACATCCTAAGGTACTTACGAGGAACAACAGGATACGGAATCAAGTACGAGGATATGGGACAAAACCGGCTCATTGGTTATAGTGATAGTAGTCACAATGTTGACTCGGATGACGGAAAAAGCACAACGGTCATATTTTCTACTACGTGTCATCCCCGATAATATGGTGTTCGCAAAAGCAAGATACTGTTGCTTTATCATCTTGTGAGGCGGAGTTCATGGCGGCCACCGCGACTGCGTGTCAAGCAATATGGCTTCAAGATTTGCTAGGAGAAATCATGAACAAAGCACAAGAGAAGGTGGTTCTAAGAGTTGATAACAAGTCGGCTATCGAACTAACGAAGAATCCCGTTTTTCATGGAAGGAGTAAACACATTCACACAAGGTTTCACTTTATTCGTAATTGTGTTGAAAACAAACAAGTGGAGGTGGAGTACATTCCCGGTGAAGAACAAAAGGCGGACATTCTTACTAAACCACTAGCTCGAATCAAGTTCAAGGAAATGCGGAGCTTGATCAGGATCGAAGACGTCTCTAGAAGGACTTAGAGATTCGGGGGTGATTGTTGGAATCCTAAGTCTTGGGGTCCAAGCAATCACGATTATGGGAACAATGACAAGTTGGTTCATACTTTCCATAATCGTGATTATGGAAACAATGACAAGTCGGTTCATACTTTCCTAATTATAAGCTAATACAAGTCAGTTATTAGCTTATATAAATACATTGTTTTAGATTGAGTTTTTAATCTTTTGAGAAACATTGTAAACACCGTGAGTTTTGAGTAATTTTCTCACATTAATCAAAGAGTGATTTTGGTTATTTAATTTTGCAATTATTCAATACCAAACTTTAACCCGCATCCGATGGGGAAGCCGATACCCGACCCGGTTTGACTAGGGAATCCCCGAGTTGATCGAGAATGGGGATGTGGAATCCCCGGATTTATAAACCGAGGATGGGCATAATGCCCTTCATCCCTGACCCTGAACCCGACCCTGAGTGTTAATTAGACATTTCTATCTATGTATATATACACTAAGGCGTTGTTTGTTTTTGACATTTCAACTCTTAATTACCCCTTATGTCTGATTTGATAAGACATTTTAACATTCAGACTGTTTGTTTTTATTTTATTTTCAGAGACTCTTAACACTTAATAAGGTATGGACAAAACAGAGGTAACCTAATCTCTTAATTCTCTCTTATTTTCTTATTACGTCTACCACAACTCCATCGCCTCATCGTCCAAATCAAACACAAATCGAGCGGAAATCAAACCCAAATCGAGTGGAAATCGAACCAAAATCGACTCAAATCGTGAATCTTCAAGGTATTCCGTCCCCTCCAGATTTCTGTGGTATGATTCCGTCCCCTCCATATTTATGGATTTTTGTGGTATGAAATAAAAACTCTAAATTCCTATGGTATGACTTCGTCCCCTCCAGATTTCTTTGGCATGGTTTTCGTTCACATTTCGGCTATCATTTTTATCCCTGTTTTGTGGTTTTTCCTGTGGGTTTTGTGGGTTTAGACTACTTTTTATTCTTTTCATGTATTTTGTTCAACTCTTCTTCAAACTTGTATGTTCATGTTTATCATAGTTTACCTTTAATTTTTGCTTCTGTTTCTGATTATGGTATGAATTATGTTGATGGATTTCTGCCATTTTCGTCCCTCTGCTTTGTGGTATGAAGATAACTTCAAATGTGTTTAGTTGAGTGAACTAGTTGTGTACCCGCGCAATGCGGCGGGAGTCATGAATTTTAACGATTTTGAAGTGTCACTGATTTTATAAGATAAGATTTAACAATGATATAAGTTACATTTGGTCTTTACATATTAATACAATTTRAATAAATAAGAGTTATGGTTCCAATTACAGACTATCGATGAAAAAAATAGTATGACAGTTTAAAATCCAATATATTTAAAATCCAACATATTTAAACGACTCCACAAATGTGTTCGATTTACACCAAGAGCAAAAAACCAAGAAACTTGAGTTTTAAGATAAACACTCAAAACCAATAAAGAAAACTACAAATTTGACAGACCATAAGCCATGAAAAGACAAAAAAAGATGGGTTTTAGAATGAAATTTCAACTGCTTACCCTCTTTCTTGTCCAGAAACTCAGATTAAGGTTGAACTAATACATGTATATATATATTTCAAAAAAACCCTAGAACATATTAATTCAGAACATATTATACAGTGCAATTTGGACADYCTAACCCCAAAATATATAGTATATATATAAATAAATAACTATAAAAGTATAAATCGTAAATATTAAAAATATTTTTTCACAGTATATATAATATATAATA